CTTGAGGGTGGGAAGAGGATATATGTAGCATGCCTCAGTGAAAGTGTTTCTAAGATGTAATGATGTACAGAATAGTTTGATTGCCTGTTGACTAAGGGTATATACTAAGCCCTCTTTTCTTCACTTTCTCATAAAAATGAATGGATAGATGATGCTTCATAACATTGGGAGTGCAAAATTATTTCCTGTCATGTTTAAGATAATGGTGATGATGATGTTGTGTTTGTGAGTAGGAGGGCGGTTATCTATTGACGCATGTTGGGTCAATAAAGGTGAACATATTTCAACTGACAACGCCAACTGGTACCTTTGCCTTGTGTGCTGAATCCATATGAGATGAATTAACAAGATTCAGATCTAGCATTAAGGGGTTAAGGAGCGGTGGGGTAGCTTGGTGGTTAAAGAGTTCGCTCCTCACACCGAAGACCCGGGTTCGATTCCCCACATAGGTACAATATGTGAAGAACATTTCCGGTGTCCCCCGCCGCGATATTGCTGGAATATTGCTAAAAAGCGGCGTAAAACCTTACTCACTCATTAAGGGGTAAACAAACTTTTGTTGATAATTGTGTTGCCATTATAACTAAAGTAAACTATGTTTATATACGAACTGATTGATATAAAGGGCAGCTCCTGTATATTTTAGTCGAAATACGGATAACGAACTGCAGTTATAATGAACAAAAATTAGTGGTCCCTTTCAGTTCGTCATAACCGGAATTTACTGTATGTCAGAGTGTCGGAAGTTCGGCGAGCAAATAGATTTGAATAACATATTACGTATGCATTTTATAGATTGTAAGACGTTTATATCGTTTCTTTGCGAACAACATATGCTACTGTGTATGGAGAATGCGTTCGATAGCCACTCGATGTAAATTCTGTGCGGCCTTCTGTAAAGCACTGGCTAAAAGTGATCGAAATGAAGGAACGTATATAATACCAAAGGAATCTTATAATAAGCTTGTATATAAGACCAGTGTGGCCATCACGACCATGCTTCAACTATAATGTTTTCTCACGGATGTGCATGGAGTGGATTGACTCAGTCAAGACGTGGGCGACAAACCGTTATTCATTAAAAGTATTAAACATGTTATTCGTGTTCTATCAATCATGGAACAATACTATCCAAGCTAGAACAAGGTCCATCCTGTGGTCAGGCTTGCTGACTTTTTTAAAAATATATTTTATTCATTTCAACCATTTTACAATATTGCACAGTTTCCACAATAATTCATGACAGTAGGAGTAGATCCTTTTTCCACAATAGGCAGGGTAGGTTATTGTAGCAGTTCTTTAGGCCATTTGCTTTTAAATTTTTGGATACTGTTGGTGTACTTGGAGATATAATCTTCAATAGATATAGTGTCCTTGAGAATGTTCACAAAACTTTCAATGTTCAATACATTGTTTTTTAAGCTAGTGATATAAACGTATCTTTTAGCTGCTAGAAGAATGTGATTGAGGAACTTGCGTCAGGCTCGCTGACTTGGTTGACACATGTCATCGTATCCCAAATGCGTAGATCGATGCTCATGCTGCTAATCACTGGATTGTCTGGTCAGACTCGATCATTTACAGACCGCCGCCATATAGCTGGAATATTGCCTGCGTGCGGCGTAAAACAACATCTCAAACAACCAACCATCCTGTCTGGAAAGTTCCAATCCCCTAGAACCAGAAAATACTTTTCTGTGTCAGCTAAACTATGACATAGAAATGTTATAAGACTTAGAACCTTGATGTGCGTATACGGCTTTGCCCATCATGTGAAAACAATACAGAAAATAGGTGTTATACTTCAGTATGTGAATATACCTGTTATATTAGACAACTGTATTTCATAAAACCTTCTGTCATAATCCAAATATGTATAATTAAAATGCTGCTCTCACTCCCATGTAAACAGTTCCTTTGGTAAACTATCTTGCCAAAACCTGTTTTACTGCTGAGGGAAAACGTTATTTTTGAGAAAAACGTTATTTTGAACAGCATGAGAATCTGTTAAACTTTACCATAAACAGAAAGACCGTTTCTCACGTGTAAGTATATCGTATATGAGCCAGTAGCCTTTAGTAAGTTGTATAAACAGGTTCGACATTGTTTCTCACTTGTGCAGTAATAATGAGGAGTATGGTGCGCACGCCGCTTTTTAGCAATATTCCACGATGGATGGACACCATATGGGCTTCACAGTAGTATCCATGTGGGGAATCGAACCCGGGTGTATATCCGTGTTCGAGCGAACGCTTTAACACATTGGCTACCCCACCGCCTTAATAGTAGCAGTAGTAGTAGTAGTAGTAGTAGTAGTAGTAGTAGTAGTAGTAGTAGTTTTAATGGTAGTAGTAGTAGTAGTAGTAGTTTTATAGTAGTAGTTGTTTAGTAGTGGTAGTGGTAGTAGTAGTTTAAATGGTAGTAGTAGTAGTGGTAGTTTTAATGGTAGTAGTAGTAGTAGTAGTTGTTTTATGGTAGTAGTAGTAGTAGTTGTTGTTGGTAATGGAAGTAGTAGTAGTAGTAGTCGCCGACTTTGTTGAATGCATGTCGTCGTTGTCCTAGTTGCATAGGTAGTATGCTCGCCGATGGTCGTAGCATGTCGTCGTATCCCAGTTGCATAGTCAGATGTTCATGATGTCGTATTGATGTGTTTACACGAATTCCTTCATAAAGGTAGAGTAACTAGTATATCTGTACTAAGAAGATCCCAGGCGTGCTGATCGATCGATGTAGCTGCGAGGCACTGCTATGAGAATCAACAACTACATTGTTGTACACGGTCTAACATTAGTAGTTTCACAACATCTCAGGTTCCACATTTGTGAGATAAAAACAATCAATTACCGCGTTTATGGTGGCTGGGTACATACAAGAGTCATGAGTGTTTCCTTTACTGTTTGTTGTGACCAAAGAACTGCAATAAATTGATATGGGAAATATGGCTTCGAATGGTGTTGGGACACGAGTGACGCGGGGCGTCAAACACGAGCTCGTTGGTATCACTGACGTCTTTGACCTGTATCACTTTGAACTTTCGATCACATTAAGTTGACAGGCTATGCCTGAAATACTGCTCAAATAGCACTCACTCACTCACATAGTCACTCACTCACTCACTCAAATAGTGTTATTCTCCAACATACATGTCAAGCAGTTCTAAAATGCCCAGCAAAGAAGTGATACTAAACTTTTTCTGATTATAACCTACGTAATAATTAATGTTTTCAAACCCAAGATTCACAACAGCTACACTGCAAATATGCTCTGTTTTGACAGCAGCCGTATGTGGAAAGAACTTCAATCAGTAGTAAAAGGAGCTAGTTAAATAATATTTAACTTAAGTTAAAATATGCACAAAATGAAACACCCTGCCTCTATGTGTTTGCAAATATGAAAGCCTGTTACATACAAGCGTACATCTATGCAGTAAACTTTCTGGGCAAATAATTTACAAAATCACATGTTACGGTTCAGACTCTACATTACTTTCATATTAGATTCAAAATTTGGATGACAGTCAGGGGATTTACCTACTGTGTTTCAAAATTTAATGTACCCCCACTGTTTAGCTATATTTCGCATTCTAATTTCGAACCTTTGGAAAGCGTCGAGTTGGATGTAAGAGGCCTTTGTCAAATCACGTGGCTGATAAAATATCTTTAAATCAATCCTACGTCCTCCTAATCAGTTTATTGACCACATCAAGTACACTCCAGCTGTCAATATAGATATGACACTCACCACTGGCCCATATTAGCATAGCTCCAACTGCTGGAGCACGTACATGGTCATTAAAATAGAGTGCTATTTCAACCACGCAAATACAAGAATCTGATGGGACAGTATGGAGAACGAATATGTCGATATATTGAACATGTTGCACAACGAAGAGACTCCGGCGAGCAGGTCACTGTTTGTCACACAAACATTTCCACGTAAACATCTTCAGAAATCGTAGGGTCCCTTCTCGCAAATAGTAGTATACGTGAGTGAGTGAGTTTAATTTTACGCCGCACTCAGCAATATTCCAGCTACATGGTGGCGGTCCCGTTAGTCGCCTCTTAGCATGGGTTATATTACTGAAGGTGTTAACTAACAAAACCTATACATCGTACAAAATGTGTTACAGTGTTCTCATTTCTGTGCACACAGTGTAACTAACTTGTATAACATTAACCGCAAGCCCTGCTGCTTGTCACAGATATACTGCGAGTCATCAGCAGTGCCGGTGTTCTAAGTTTGCTAAGGAATGTGTGGCGAAAACAGTTTAAAAAGGCTGAGTAATCATGTGAAACTATCCATTTCGTCACTTTTCTCTAACTGGAAGATATTCCATGTTCCTTGCTGACCTACATGTACATGAGTCTTAAACACCGCTGCACAGGCATGGTGCGCACCTGCTCTGCCGATCTTTTACGATGTTTACGTGTTAATTATGAACTTCCTTCCTCCAAATGTAGCTTGTAGGACCTAAATATTATCGACCATAGCTGTCCTTCCACATAAAAGATTTGAATATTTTCTGTCATAGGCAGAAGGACAATTGCACTGTCGTTTCGGCTCAAGTGCAGTGCTGAATCGCCATGACACCCTGCCGATAAAACTATGCAGTACTTGAAAAAAAAAAACCTTCCGTTGTAGACTAAACGTCAAGACATATATGTCCCTGTGGCATCAAGGGGGTTAACCACTAGGCTACCCCACCGCCCCTAAACGTCAAGAGTCTTACCCAGTAACTGTATAGTTGGGTAAAGCGAGTGTGTTTGACCAGTCGGATCACGTTTTAAAGGACTGTCTGATACGGAATTAGACAAATGTACGTGACATGTACAAATTCGGCGTCATTCGCGTGAAATTCAAACACGACAGACAAAATCCCTAGAAGGGCTGTAACCACTTTGTTGGTCTCGCTAACATTTCGTAATCCGTAGCATTGCATAATAAGTATGAAGTATGTCCATGACGTAACTCAATATCTGTTTGTGACGTCATGGGTGTGACCTGACGTCACAATCAGGCGTCGTCAAAGTTGTCAGTTGCCAAAATGAAACCCAGAACGAAGATGCCATATAAAAAAGTACCAAGAAGGCCACCACCAAAGGAACGGGTGGAGAACCCCAACTCGCTTTTATACCATCCTCAGTTTGAGAAGCTTGTTGGCGAGGACTGCTTGATAACCTTAAAATGCAGTATATGCCTAGATTTCTACCACGACCCTACCGTATTGCCATGTGGACATACATTCTGCAGCAAGTAAGTAGTCAAAATGTATATATTAATATATTGCACTTGTTTCGTTTCTTTTAATATCATTCATGCAGATTATCACAATTCAATTGTAAACTAAGCCAATTTCATTCACATGTTTACATTTCGTTTGTGGAGTACTACACTCAATAACTATTTTTTTCAGCGAATATTGGCTGTGGCTCTGTAAATAAATGGAATGATATGTTTGGGCATTTGGGCATTATCGCGTTGGTGTTCACACCAAACCCGAACACGATGTTTAGTTTGTTAATGAGCGCAGGGAAATATGATTTTTGCTGATAAACGAAAATACTCTATATATCCATTATGACCCTAAGAAGTGATGACAATACAGACCCCTTCAATCTATGCCTGTCGTAAAATGCCACTCAATTCATCGGGTTGATCGGGTTGTAAATATTGATGGCTTGGTTGATTTCCATGCCCTATACATGTATCCCGATTGCGTGGAGTGATGCTCATGATGTCAGTCACCAGATTGGATTGTTTACTTCAGACTAAATTATTTACAGACCGCATTAAAAGCTGTAATATCGGTGAGTTCAGCTATAAACAACAATCAAACAAACCCGTCCATGAAACCATTCCTGACTAAAAAATTGCTAACGATCGGGGAAGGTAAGATTAAGTGGAGTAGAAAGCACAGACTGACATGTTTTGAGCTGTTACTGATACACCGCGTTTCAGTGTTATACAGTCCAATACTGATGGAGGGAAGCTAGATGGTGTCTATCCATAAGTCTGTGGTAACCGTATCTCTGTGTTGCTCACCCGTGAATATCCGGTCTTCAGTAACCCATGCTTGTCGTAAGAGGCGACTAACGGGCGCGGGTGGTCAGGCTCGTTGACTTGGTTGACACATGTCATCGGTTCCCATTTGCGCAGATCGATGCTTATGCTGTTGATCACTGGATTGTCTGGTCCAGACTCGATTATTTACAGACCGCCACCATATAGCTGGAATATTGCTGAGTGCGGCGTAAAAAACTAAACTCACTCACTCAATAATTAAGGAAATACTACCTCCGTAAGGTCATCTAAAAAACAACCCCAAAACTGTGAGCAATGCAGAACAACAATACAAGTTTCCCATATTTTGATATCGATTTCGAGACATGTCACAAAAACATGTCAGTGTTATTGGTTGAACAAATTTGACGTAGGAATTTTTCCCGAGTTAAGGAGAATCTGATGTAATTTGTGATAATTCTTGCTAAATTCAAAAAATCAAAATAAGACTTTCCACCACACCTCTAGATGGTGAGGATGATCTACAAATCTGAAAATAATCCATTCATTTGGTTTTCCCATGTGTTCCTTTTTGTTCAAAATATGTAAAATGGGCAACCCTTTCACAAACTGGAAAATCGGAACAAAACTTTGCACTGAACCAAGTTATTGGCTGAACAAACCTTTCTAAATTTAAATTTGCTAATTGCTGTAATTCTTGAAAAAATATAGCATCATCAAGCCTCTCCATTAAACAAAGGCCAGGTGATAAACATTCGCACTGCAAGGTGTGGAGTAGTGAGTGAGTGAGTTTGGTTTTACGCCGCTTTTAGCAATATCCCAGCAACATCACGGCGGGGGACACCAAAAATGGGCTTAACACATCGTACCCATGTGGGGAATCGAACCCGGGTCTTCGGCGTGACGAGCGGACACTTTAACCACTAGGCTACCCCACCGCCCAGGTGTGGAGTAAATGCTAATACAGAAATTGTGTTTTGCATCACAATGCACGTCAATAAGTGGTTGAATCGATAAATATGAATCAATTTCGCTCAAAAGGTTCTGTGGTTGGATATAGGGTTAAACACCGTCTCTTTTGGCAGATGTTTGATGTCAATGGCATCCCACGTGAGACTGAACCAGCGCGACCTTGAGCCGAGCGAGCAGTACATCGGCTGCCCCGAGTGTCGCGAGGCAGTGTACATCAGCAGCCTTGCCAACAGGGAGACAACTCTCAACTACCCCATCCAGCAGGTCATCGAGAGCATGATGAAGAAGGAAAACGGGCACGGTGGACAAATCATAAATAAACCCGAGATGGTGAGGACACATTGTATGCGTCTTTTTGACAAGACTGACTGACTGACTGAGTTTGGTTTTACGCCGCTTTTAGCAATATTCCAGCAACATCACGGCGGGGGACACCAGGAATGGGCTTCACACATTGTACCCATGTGGGGAATCGAACCCGGGTCTTCGGCGTGACGAGCCAACGCTTTAACCACTAGGCTACCCCACCGCCCCCTTTTTGACAAGAGGTCAACTTTGCTGGTACATATATAATGTTTTTGAATGTTTGTTTGTTTGTTTAATTGAAGTATGGAAAAAAAATTCTTTCCGTCTCATCCAATTACAGCTAACAATGGGCCCCGATGCGCGTAGATGCTTAAAAGTGACTAAATAATGAAAAAGAAACAAGCTGGTTTGCCTCTCTGCTCTGCCTCAATGACCATCAACCTTTTTGATCAGGAAGTTAATAGTTACGTCTTTTGCGGTGTTTCGGTGACCGATATGTTTGAGCATGTTTGAGTCGCTAATGGCTGATACACTGTATAGATGTAAATTTAATTTAGTTGCTTTACTGTTTCTAATTACATGAACATGCGTGTCCTGAAGTAACTGAAACGGACATAAAATACGCATTAGCAGAGTGAGAGAGTTATTATTTAACGTCACATCGGCAATATTTCAGCCATATCGTGACGATATAAGCATAGAACGTTTCCCATGAAACTTTGACAAATGGAAATGAAGCTTTAAGAAATGTCCATGCACCCGCTACAGCCAATATTTGTTGGGAACATGAACGTAACCCCAGTGTTCGTGCCTTCTGTACAAAGGGGCATTCACACGGAAACGGGGCGGTGGAGTAGCCTTGTGGTTAAAGCGTTCGCTTGTCACGCCGAAGACCCGGGTTCGATTCCCCACATGGGTACAATGTGTGAAGCCCATTTCTGGTGTCATCCGCCGTAATATTGCTGAAATATTGCTAAAAGCGGCGTAAAACCTTATTCGCACACTCGTTGTAGTGGATAGGGCGACAGTCCGTAAAGCGGAAGGCAGGTGCTTGCACTCCCTTTCCGTGTCATACATGTACTAACAGACTTGAGTAAAATTTTGCTTGACACAGGGAATAGAACGTGTGGACTGGCCTCACTTGCACAAAGTGATTATACCGCTGCGAGAGTCGTAGGCATATGTTAAAGCACGAGCTTTACGACTGTCTTAGCGCTGAGACCACTTTGTGCAAGAGTGCTCGACAGAATCATGTATTGGAGCGCGGAAGCTTCTTTGGTTAGCACTATACAAGCAGCTACAAAAACATGCACGTCTTGACATGAATTTCCATCTATGTGTACAGGTTGATGCAAGCACAAGCTACGACAAGGCAGACTTCGAGCAGGTGCGCCGGGTGGAGGAGACTCGCGAGCACGAGCAGCTCATCCAGGCCGTCAACAAAGAGATGGACGGCTTCGAACGCGCACTGTCCGGCAGCGGAAGCATACTGAACGACGCCTTCCTCGACATCGAGAAGATCCGCGTCGACCATCTGGACAGACTGAGGAAGGACGAAGAGGCCGCGATGAAAGCTCGGGCTGAGAAGAAATATAGCGGGAAAACACAAGACGCAACTGACTTCCCACCGATGCCCACCGCCCAGGCGGCCATGTTCGACCCAGCAATCGTCTCCTACTCCATGTGGCATCAGCGCCCTCCGCCAGTCTTCAACGACTTCATTCGGCGCCCTGCTGTGCCGGTCTATCTGTAGATTTTAATACTGATAGCTTTTTGGACGGATTTTATGTTAACGAAACGTTTATGCGAATATGGATGAGGGACTTTTTGCAAACTGTTGTGGGGGGTTCACGGGATATAAACTGACGTTACCCCAAGGTGTTAGGATAGTTTACATGTTACTCAGTGGTCGCTGTGTTACACTAGCCCTGATCAAGCTTGGTCACAATTTTCGAATTTGATACTCAATGGCATTAATTTACACATGGTGGATATCAAGCTAGATCCAAAGATTCGTCATTACTTAATTATTGTTAGGAATTTAGAGTTTATAGTGTAACTGCACAGTGTATTTTAGAGATATTTACATCATTCTGTGTTTAATGTGTCACGTGCAAGAGGTGTATTCACTGTACTGTGTCATTTATGTAGATATGCTTTCCAACTTGTTTTTTTAGTACTTTACACGACAATGTATAGGTATTTTTGAAGAAATGTGGAAATATACTTTCGAATTTTATAGGAAATATATTCAAATGGAATTTTGACAATTTTGACAGAATCATCGTCAAAAATGACAATAATATTGTTTCCATTTCATGTATTTCATGCTTGCCTACAAAACGTTAGCTCACCTTACTATCATGGTAATCTAAATTTGATTTAAAGCATGAAACTCATTACCAGGATGATGGTAAAAAATGCTTGTTTGTACTTATTCATAAAATAAACGTAACATTATCTCCTATATGGTATGGAATTTTAGAACTTCAAGTGTTCTTCATGTAAAAATGTAGTATATTTTGGATCAGAGGGAAGTTGATATTACACTGGGCATATTTCAAGATACTTTGCAATATCTACATAACCTCAAGGTAAAAATCAATGCATAAAAATTACACATGCTTTACTGCATTTGACGATTTCGTTGGTTTTAGCATCCCTATTGTAAATCTTAGAAAATAAAGTTGCTGTGTATTTATTTCATATGATCGACTACTGTTGTCATTGACAGAACAGAATCTCTATTTCCATGCTATCATGAAATTTGGTGTTAGCGATTGTATTGAGTTAGCGGCAAGGGTTTGGGATAAAGGTATAATCGTGAAAGTCAGGAAGGACTTGATAGATTTTCAAACAAAAGATGGCGCTGTATGTGGTTAAACAGTATCATGTTTTATTCGCAGGTATGACAGACATTCGAATTGTGTAACACAGCCACGTATGTATTCGTAAGCCAAAGTGAAGATCACTTCCTAAAATATATCAAAGTAAGCCAAAGAAGGTCTAGTCCAGTCCACACTGAAGGTCACTATTGTGATGTCACTCTGCCCTTTGTGACGCCAAACATGACGTCACAGTCGGATAAAAAGGTGTGCGAAACTGCCTGTTGTCTCTCGATCATTCACTTTTTGACCAAAATTAATATTACATACCTAAGTCCTTCCGATACAGACGGAGAAAGAAATACGTTTCTAAAAAGTAATAGGTTCATTGATGATGCAGCCGTCAAATCTGGCGTTTCCTCCAGAAGGAGCTAATATGCTTTGAAACTTTTGATTCACAAATCAAAATAGTATATTTTAAGCATTCATGGTAATGGGGTTTTCACATTTTCTGTGAAATATAACGCCGGATTTATGATAATGTGGCTCTTAGTCTGTTGTGCGAATGAACCATCCTTAAACCCTCATAAGATAACTTTGTTGACGAATAAAAACAGAAATACTTCAGCACACTCATTCTCTGTTCTGTTATGCAATGCGAAGACAAATCCTCCTCAGATAAAGAACATCATATAAACCGTGTTTTATTACACTTGACCGTAACGACATCGACGGCGTGTACGTATGAAATCTTAACAGCGAACATTTACTTGGGGAATTCAGTTACTAAAGTACATGACTGATTAAGGGTACTTGTAATTCATGAAATTACCGGTCATCATTTTGTAAGGGCGTCAGTAAGGCTAGGGCGTTTCAAAATATTTCGGAAAATATGCAAGCAAAAAGACATTTTAGACGTTTCGCGTATGCCGGATGTAAAGGGGATTATTACAAACCGTCGTCAAATAGAATATTATTGAGTACTAACGCATTTCTTTCATAGGGGTAAAAGCATTCTAAAAGTCACCGTCCATGATCAATATTGAACAAAAAAGTTTGTAAAATCGCAATAAACACACAAAACATGCACTCGTATTTCCGACTTTTACGGAAACATCTGACAGTTAATGAGCAGAAGCGGGTATCACATGATATGGCGTAATATGTGCCTATTGCCGATGGCTTCCTCTTTGATTTTACCTGAAACTTGACAGACCATGGATTCTGAACATTTTCTAAAATGGGATTGCAGTTCCCTTTGTGTTAGACGGGTGACTGCAGGGAGTCTTGGATTTTGATTTTTAAAAAACAAATTGATTGTCCCAGAATATGATTAAAAAATAACTATACTTCAGATGGGGGAAAATAGGAATTGTCTGCTTCAAAAATTACGCTTTTGCAAGGAATTATTTCGTTGAAATAATTATGATCTTTGTTTTCATTAATAAATTATCTTGTCTCCATACAAGATCGATCGAGCAGGGATAAAATAAGCGACGCGGATACTTTATGTCCCCAAAAACTGGTAAATTATAAACTACTAGTATGGACAATGTATATTTCACTAGTTTTAGCTTGTGGAAATAGTTATGGTTCAAGATCATAACTTTAGAATGATATCATGTCTTCCATTGAGAATACAGAACAACTTTCACAGCACACAATACTGAGAAATAGCGGCAATATGGAAAACAAAGAATGAAACAGGTTCTTAATCATTTGCCGTTATATTTATAGATTATGCTTTGTTTCCGGTAGATTGCAGTATTTGGGGCTCCAAACCGGAACGAACGTTATAAGGAAACATTTTTCAAGCTTATGGGAAATTTCTTACTGATTTTGACAATAAGTATATATTTCATCACAATCGGACTTGATATAATCATTGTTGAAAAAATACCACTGACAGTAAGTTGTAACATGTAATGATGCAGTATAAATGGAATATTATGACATGAACATGAATTATTTTTGTACCAAATCAACGGTCTACGGTAACGGTGATGTCGATCGAAAACTGCTGCCCAAACTATTTTAAAGCACGTCAGTGGTGTCTTATTTCCATTGTCCGATGACGTCGTGCAACCCCAGGAAACAAAATACCCCATCTTACCAATTATAGAAACGACAGATATAAAAGCAGTTTACGCACCATGTCCGACCTAAGTCACATTTGACGTCACCAGTGTAAAAGGTCACGTGGGTTCACGGACTTGCTGGCGGAATATGCATAATGGCCGAAGCTGAGATAGTATAGAGTGAGTCAGTTTAGTTTTACGCCGCACTCAGCAATATTCTAGCTATATGGCGACGGTCTGTAAATAATCGAGTCTGAACCAGACAATCCAGTGATCAACAGCATGAGCACCCATCTGCGCAATTGGGAACCGATGACATGTGTCAACTAAGTCAGCGAGCCTGACCACCCGATCCCGTTAGTCGCCTCTGACGACACTCATGGGTTACTGAAGATCAATATTCTAACCCCGGCCTTCACGGGTCGAGATAGTATAGAAACTGTTTTCGCGATAAAGATAGAAATAATAACACGATGGCATTAAAATTGGGGTACATGTTTCTGATGACTTTATCTTTTACCCAGTCAGCTATTGTAATTTTCCAGTATTCTCCTTTAAATACAAAATAATTATTTGCAAATATTTGAAAGTGTGCCTAACAGCTCTATGACACATAATTCAACGTATTTTAACTGCATTCAGCTGATTCATAAGTGAATTGAGTTGACCAATGTGCAAAAACAATTTGGTTTAGTTTCATCAGATAAAAAATGGAAGATGATATTCTCATTTGGTCAAAGCTGATGTTTTTCAAAAGACAAGTTGGTGGGTTTCGAAGCCAAAACAAGGTCAGAATCGTTTTATAACTGCCTATCGGACTGAGCCCCGTAGACATTCTGTGTTTGAATACAATGTCCCAAGCAACCTAAGCTGGTCATATTGGGGTAGCCAAATGGATTGAGCGGTAAGACCCAGCGATCACGTTAATTGCGAAGTTGACGGCGTGGCTCGTTGTTATAAAATTGTGTAGTTTTGTCTTTATTACTATAGATCGAGACTGATAATTGGGGTGTGTGGGTGTGTGTGGGGGGGGGAAAGCACGGTAGATTCACTCTCGACAAAAACATCCCACTAACTTTAGGTGTCAGTCGCACCTCACAAAACTCACATCGCGATATACGATGTACCTACGGCAGTTTGAGTGGATTCTGTGAGGTCATATTGTGACGTCAGATGTTTGTGACGTCACAGCATTGTCTTGCTGGCATTTCTCGGAGTCAGTCGTGTTTAGGAAGCTCTGTCACATTCAGTATCACAATGGGATGCAAGCAGACAAAGACGCGGTCTCTCAACCAGACATCGGCTAAAGAAGCACTAGAGGGCAAGATCAATTGTCCACGAGAGTTGTACTTCGCCAAAAGTCAGCCCACTTCCAGGCTGTCCGGAGAGGAGATATTACAACAGCTACGTGAGGAAGGAATTGTCCCTGACCGCCACCGCTCAGGTGGTGTGGCTTTCTCGGTTGCTGTGAAGGATGGTGGTGCCGGCACTCGAGGGAAACCACCCAGACGCCTGGAACGCATGGCTGCCAAAGGTCTTTACACCTCAGAAGAGCGCCAGATAATTGCTGATGTCGCTCGTTTTGACAGGTACGTACCTGTGTTATTTCTAAAGAGTGAGTGAGTCTAGTTTTACGCCGCTTTTAGCAATATTCCAGCAATACCACGGCGGGGAACCCCAGAAATGGGCTTCACACGTTGTACCCATGTGGGGAGTCGAACCCGGGTCTTCGGCGTGACGAGCGAACGCGTTAACTACTCTATTTCTAAAGAGCAAATCCTCTGACTGAAACCATTTATTTGAAACATGTTATATACCAGTCTAATTGCGTGCCACTGTCCTCTGCAGGTTTGTGGAGCAAGTACAGAAGCGAGCCCTTGACAGAGATATTAAAAGAAAGACGGTGCTTCTTGAGAAGGAGAGGCAAAACCTCATGAAGAAGATGAGGGCGCGGCAGAAACTATGCGAGCGGGAAAAACGTCTGAAGCAATTCGCTGAGGAGAAGGCAATAAAGGAGGAAGAGAAGGCGGCGAAGAAGGCGAAGGCTGCAAGGAAGAATGATAAGGCCGAAATAAAGAATTCTTCTATCAAGAAGTAGAGGAAGGATGAGGAAGAAGCAGGGGTGGGGGCACATGCCTCGGTCATGATCAGAGCCCAGTGTTGGAACACTTTCCCATCTCTGATGATACTCTGTTGTCAATATCAGTTATTTCATTATTAGAAAGAAAACAAGAATAACAATTGGGTTTTTAACGTTCATGTATAAATATACAAATAAATTAGAAGAACAGAAATACAACAAAGCCTAAAGAATATATTTTCTTAAGTTTTATCATTACAACAAATGTAACACTTGTGGTTTTAGGGTGGAGCCTTTGTAAAGAGAAAAAGCACAAGGGTTGGGAACTGCACCTTCTGATACTGTATATCGTTATGTCATTATTATTATTTAAATGTTAAAGCATCTGAGACAAAATATATTTTAAAAATCATAAATTCTAAAAAACACACAAAGGTTTTCAAGTCAAATTCATAGTGTTCTCGGTGGAGACAGACATAAATCCATATGATCAAGCGTACCGCAAAGTCTTGTGTGAAGCTTTGCATCAATATAACATTGAGGAAAACGAATGCCTACGATAACGTTACTCTGTTCAATGGGTGTACTTTTATATATGTAAATACTTCATAACCGTCACCTAATTGTATTGAAACTGTTGGACCAATAAAGGTGTTTTGATGATTTTTGTTTAAATGTAATCTCGTCGTTCAGTTCTCTGCTCAGGATCCTATGTATACATCAATGCAAATAGATATCTCTGCCCCTGGAAGTACATGTGTTTATAACAGTTTATTCAAGTAAATGAGCTGGTATACAAACGTTCATTTACAGACAGACTTTATTAGCACAAGCCACAATTGGCCTGGTGTACAGAGTGGTCGGTTATATTTATAGTGATTTGTGCTGGGCAGTCAAGGTTTACTTTAGAGACGACAGCTAGAAGAGGATATAATTAAACAAATAACATGACTGTTGTTTCTTAACTTCAGCAGCTTCGTGATCATATTTCGCTAAGAATGACATTGATATGATTGTTTGAATATTACTATTGACGGTTTTAAGTAATATAGTGACTTATACAAAGGACATATCAAGAGAAAATCGTGCTCGTTTTCTGTATCATTACTGTTACATTTTTAACAGATTCTTCACAACGGGGGATTCTTTTGTTCCTCTGGCTACCAGTTTCTATGTGTAGATAATAAGTTGATAATCCATAATGTATTACTCTGCACGAGAAAACTCTTAGATTACCTTTTAATGAAAATATAAGATTCGTGTAAGTTATCTATTCCTATAAGATTATCTTCCAGGCGCCAGTTCACTTTAACATCCTTACACAAGTAAAGCGAATTAGATTCCCTTTCATGTTGGTACAAAGTTGAATTTACATGTCTCCGAGGGGGAACATGTTCCTCGGTGTGATACAAGCCAGATTCTGATTGTCATTTGAGTGATTGTAGTTTTACGCCGCATTTAGCAACATTCCAGCAATATCACGACGGGAACACCAGCAATGTGCTTCACACACTGTATCCATGTGGGGAATCGAACCCGGACCTTCGGCGTGACAGGCGAACGCACAAACCACTATAGGCTACCCCACCGTCACTTATCGTTATTTGAACCTACCAACAGGGGACCTGGCAAGTCAAGTGTCTCAACACCATACAGATGATTGCGATTCTTGAAACTAGCGGGTCATCGAGTGGATTAAGTTTTAATCAGATTGGGTGGCTGATGACATGTCGAAACATCACATACACGTCACAACACACATGTGAAGAATATGTTCCAACTTACTGTATATAGTCAAAAGCTGTATGATCCGTCTGTTTTTCTGTCTATTGTGTTGTTCTGTCCTGCTTAGTTAAGGTTAATCTGTCATACAGACCCTGAAATAAATATATCCAAGAAAGCCCATGCAAGTCTAGAATGTGTGGCAAGTCTAGATTTCCACAGTTTCAGGAAATGAAGAAAATCTCTCGGCTCCTTTTCATTGCATTTTATGATTATTTTTGTTAACAGTTTGTTTTTTTCTCTGTAATATGTGTTCATTTCACACATTTAGTCTAGCTATGGGTGAACGTAGATATGTAAATATACACAACATCTATACGTGCAGATACGGGAGAAGGTTGCTCACTATTGCACAGACTGCTTTCAAGCGCTTCCAAGCGCTAATCCCACTTACTAACTTTAGTACCTGTGAAGATCCGGTTTTGAATTGGTATTAATCAACCCATCCATGTCGTAAGAGGCGACTAGCGGGGTCGGGTGGTCAGGCTCGCTGACTTGGTTGACACATCACATCGTATTCCAACTGCGGAATCGATGAGCATGCTGTTGATCACTGGATTGCCTGGTCCAGATTCGATTGTTTACAGGCCGCCGCCATATAGCTGTAATATTGCCGAGTGCGGCGTTAAACAACAAACCAATCAACCAACCAATTTTAATGAAAATATTCGTGAGGTGACGTCATCCTTAAATGATAGTAATGTTACTGACCGGCGGAAACCGTGGACTTAAACCTTGCTTAGAGGATACAGAGCATGGTAGTTTGACTTTAAGTAAATTGGCAAGGGACAATTACTTAAGGGGATAAATAGGTGATATGGCCCAGACAATGTATCGTTTTGATAAACTTAACAAAGCGAGGTTATATTTGCTTTGCACTGTTTGAATTCTTATTCGTAAAGAGATATTCAAAACAAAATCGACAAAATGAGCAAACGAGATCAGGCTTCTGGATGACCTCAGCTGACACTACAACTGCCTTTCTACGGTAACAGGGGTATCATTGGGTGCGGACAGTACCCGCAACTCATTCTTACACTTCACCATGAATGCGGAGAGTTATACTTTCCCCGCTACTCGGAACATTCTGACCAGCAAAATACACCCCCTATATCTACTGACCACATTCTTCACAGGGAAAGTTCAGCATAACATGGCTTTCTGGGAATGGAGCCCACGTGACCACGGACAGCTGTCGTGTGTTACCCATGCCCAGGCACCTCGGTCGTCTAGGTATACAGAACAAAATAGAATAAAAGGACCTCTTGATGTTTTCTCCAAGTCACCATGGCTATCGAAAAATAGATTATGATATAAGCCTTAATGCCGAAAATATTCTGCTTGGACAAACATCGTCCAATTTGTATTAACGAGGTTGCCTCACTCACTCACAATATGGAAATCCCAGTGACACATGAATGAGTTAATGGATGTCGAATTAATAACGTTTCATCCAATTAGCCTCATGTTTCAGGTGATGCTCTTACTCAACTTTCACGTCTTGCTGTGTCACCAAGCCGACGGCAAAAGTCAACCTTTCGTCTCCGCACAAAAAGCTGCTGAGAAAGTCCTTAGTTTACCGAACAGCTGACATTGAATAAATTATAATGTCACTAAACGAAAATAATGTTCATGAAATATTACAACATTTGACCATAGCAGAGTGCAACTGCCTTTCTACGGTAACTGGGGTATCATTGCGTGTGGACAGCACCCGCAACTCATTCTTACACTTCACCATGAATGCGGAAGGTTATACTTTCCCCGCTACTCGGAACATACTGACCAGCACAATACACCCCCTATATCTACTGACCACATTCTTCACAGGGAATGTCCAGCATAGCATGGCTTTCTGGGAATTGAGCCCACGTGACCACGGACAGCTGTCGTGTGTTACCCATGTCCAGGCACCTTGGTCGTCTAGGTATACAGAACAAAACAGAATAAAAGGATCTCTTGTCGTTTTCTCCAAGTTACCGCGGCTATCGAAAAATAGATTATGATTAAAGCCATTATGCCGAAAATATTTTGCTGGGACAAGCAACAATTTGAGGTTGCCTAACTGGCCAAAATTATGGAAATCCCAGTGAATCATGAACGAGTTAATGGATGTCAAATTAAATAGGTTTTATTCAATTAGCTTTATACTTCAGGTGGTGCTTCAACTCAGCGTTCACGTCTTGCTGTAGTCACGATATGGCTGAAAAACTGCCGATGTGACTTAAAATCTTAACTCACTCACTCAGTCTTGTTGTGTTTATAACACAACGGAGTTATGTGGAGAGTCCCCTTTACTCACAGAGAGCTGCCTATAGTGTTTTGCAGATGTAACAGAGACAGCCATAGTTTACCGAACAGCTGACATTGACTGGAATAAATTATATTGTCACTAAACGATAAATAATGATCATTAAATATTACTCATGTACATTACAATTCATGTATATTACTCACATACATGGCATACACAGAAACAACGCAAATTACTTGTTTGAGCTGGTCACATCATCCTTCACCAGAATTGAATTTTAAGAAGTATATTCTTTAGGGGGAGCTTCAAAATCGAGCGAATATGTAGTAGGAAGTTTACAATTTTATATTTCGAATAATCTAGAGGCAAATAGCAACAATACTAAGACGGGAGATTATTTACTGAAGTGAACTAATTTTTTGCGTGAAAAAGTTTCATTCGTTTCAACTCAATAGCGCTGGGGCAACCGGGAGGTGAAGTTTATCTGTTTAAATTCATAATCGGAATCATTATATATGTTTTACAAATTTGCAATTCATTGCCACCATTAAGAAATCATCAATTAATATTTTTGAAATATTTGACCTATATTGTGTGACCGTTATACTTGATTGCCAACCAATCCATGACCGGAGGGAATGACAAATTCAAGGGAACGCAAACTGAATCAGGAAAGACTATTCAAACACACAAGGAATAATTTAATTGGAATTAATCTGTCACTATGAATGATGATGATGGTAATATCTGTGGGGGTTTCACATATCATACTGTTACCATTTTCAAATTTATTTACTCGCCATTTGAAGATACTTTCAGCTCGTTCGATATCAAATCATTAACTCGTTCAATATAAATGGTATTACACGGAAGGTCGTTTAGTATCCTCTATGCACACGCCTGTACCTTCGAATTGGATTTTCCACAAGTGGACGTTCAGCTCAAAGAAAATGAACTGAACTGCATGTCTTGACGCCTAAACCATTTAGTCATTACACTCTTCTTAATGTGATTGGCACCTAATCCTGACTATTTCTTTTAGAAAATACATCGGTATGTCCTTATTTGCCTACAGTTAGAAGATCACCACTTAATCCATATCGATCTGGAGATTGGAAATTGCTAAATTATCATTATATTTATCGATACAGCAAAATGACACAGAAACGCCAAAGGTACATACTCAGCATGCTGCTTCGCGAGGAACCCCATTTTGCTTTCAAGAACCCGAACCGATTTCGATATGGAATCATTATTTAATATTCACTTTCGTTCAGATACAGAATGCACATTTGTTATGTTTTTATAGGTACGGTCTTGGTTTAAAATATATTTCAAGATCTTTTGCCAGGTGAGGATGTCGAAGTGCGCTGTTAATTTACGACATTGGCAGACTTTCTAACGGATCGATCGGTAGTCTCAGATGTAATGATATATTATATAGAGGATATTATATTCATGCCCACGTCATACTATGTTTACGACACGAGTACCTAAATGTTTGTATTTCCCAAGCGAGAGCGGGGGATATACTGTACCGATATGTAGGCACGAGTGTCCTAAACATAGTAGAATATGGGAACGAATATAATATTCTATTTATTACCGAAGTCGTCAAATTGAGGAAAATAAACCCAAATCTACTTTAAAACATAGGGTTGCCGTCGCTGCACGTAGAACGCAACGTCATAGAAGAAACGTGATATCATAGCATTGTTCACTACGTCACGTCACCATGACAAGGTGATATTTTGCCCAAGTGCATCGTGTGAAAACTATGAACCCCGACATTTTGCCCTCGTAGGTAATAAATATTAAACATCTTAAATACAGTAAATTATTAAAATGATGAATGGTAACCACTGTTAGCTGGTCCTCAGTAAGTAGACCTGCATTGTTGCGAAGCATTTAATTACAACCTTGTCATACCAGACACGGCATGCATCAAGGACCTTTGTATACATTTGAAAGCGGCAATCCGTATTCTCTTCAGGCTCGAGAAGTATACGTAAATATGCATTCACTCACCATAATACAATAAGATGACATGTGAGAAATGTGTCAAACTGTGCGTTATTATCTGGACATAAATATACTGTATAATTGTAAATTCATCCACTTACCTTATTGTTACAATCAACGTACAATACAAACAGCATGGTAAGGACGTCACCTCGAAACTCTTCGAAATTTGCAACCGACAGCAATATATGAAGAAAACATTCACTGTCATGTCGATAACACGTGTTAATTAGTGTCCCAAGTCATGTTCATTTCCTTTGAAAATGTTTTATCTTGCTATTACGATACAATTTACATTTTTCGGAACAGGTCCGCCACTTCTGCAGTTATGGAGTCTGGAATTAACGCGCATGAAAACCCCGTGCAGCGGAAGTGATCTCTGATTGGTTGAACTCGTAACCATGACATCACGTGACAAATCCGGCGAACACCTGCGTGATATATACAACGTATCAAACTTGATTTGACGTGTGTTTATGTAAACAGTATGAAACGAAGAAGCCAGCTTCAGAGTGACTGGGACGGTTATAGGTAGACCAGTGAAAAAGGAGCGTCACGCCGAAGCGATGGGTTCGATTTACTCACGGGTTCAGTGTGTGAAACCCATTTTTGATGTAGCTCACAGTCACATAACCGCAATAGTGTTAAAAGAGATAACCGAAGCCATCAGCAAATGACCATTTCCAGACATAATCAGTTTGTGCCTTGTATGAGATTTCTTTGTAACTGTGTAATTACGACATGGACAGTCGGTATATTTTGCTTGATACATGGCCATGTTATCTGTGATCCACTTATACGAAACCTTCGGAGATGTATTAAATACATGTTTTACGTGTATTGGGAATCTGCCGATAAAATGACTATCTAGTCAATCGGCTTTGCTATATTGTATAGCAGTGTATGAAATAAGCCAAAAATCGAGCCAGACATCAGGGCTGGTAACTTTAAAATGTTACCAGTCCGAACTGAATTTAACCAGACCAGACACCAAGATATATGGTGAGTTTACTCAGCTGTGTGGAACATCTAAAATCTTTACCAGACTATCGGACTGGCTAGCTGTAAATTTAGACCGTCCGTCAGAATTCTAGCCCGTCTCGGGCTGTCGGACGGGCCTTATTTCATACACTGACTGTATAGTATTTACTCTTCTTTAAATGGTTAACACGATAGGCAGCCTATGAATCTCGGACAAATGTAACGGACAAATATACATTGTCAAATTGTCATGAAATATTCGTCTCCCTCTATTTGTCCATCTATTTCGCTGATTTTTTGTATATTTTGTATATTTTGTTTTGTGTATGGGGGATACCCTCCCAATAAACGTTTTGTTTATTTTTTGTTTGGTTTGGAATGTTTGAGTTCGGTATAAAACAGTGGTAGCATGCCAGCACATGTCATCGCAGATAACCTATGAGTCAGTGAGTGAGTTGGATTATACGCCGCATTTAGGAATATTCCAGCATTATCACGACGGGGTCACCAGAAATGGGCTTCACGCATTGTACCAACGGGACGTCTAACCCGGGACACGGCCTCAGACCAACTTTGAAAAAGCAGAGACGAAACCGCAGTGTATTGTGGGTGGGATGTGTCTGTATCATACACTACCTCAAGAACGTTTCGCTTGTCTCCTTTGTCATCTTGGGACAGTCCGTAGTATAGCGATGTGTAGGGACAAGTCAGTATCAGAATTGTTTACAGAGAGCAGCACAGTTGGTTGGTTGGTTGATTTGTTGTTTAAATGCGTACTCAGCAGTATTCCAGCTACATGGCAGTGGTCTGTAAATAGTCGAGTATGGACCAGACAATCCGGTGATCAACAACATAAGCATCGATCTACGCATTTGGGATACGATGACATGTGTCAACCAAGTCAACGAGCCTGACCACCCGATCACGTTAGTCGCCTCTTACGACAAGCATGGGTTACTGAAGACCGGATATTCACGGGTGAGCAACACAGAGATACCGTTACCACAGACTTATGGAAGGACACCATCTCGCTTCCCCCCATCAGTATTGGACTGTATAACACTGAAACGCGGTGTATCAGTAACAGCTCCAAACATACTCTATTGACCCAGGCATGTTATCTCACAGGGTGAGCAACAATGGGGTGATTCTGACCCAGACCAAGGTCTGGTGATTTACAGGCTGTATGTGCGTGTGTAGGGAGTCTCCGTTCTCCAATAATATAGGGCGTTGGCCTAGTGGTTAAAGCGTTGGCTTGTCACGCCGAAGACCCGGGTTCGAATCCCCACATGGATACAATGTGTGAAGCCCATTTCTGGTGTCCCCCGCCGTCATGTTGCTGGAATATTGCTAAAAGCGGCGTAAAACCAAGCTCAGTCAGTCAGTCCAATAATATACTGTATGTATACCCTGGACCAGTTCGCCATCACAGGTTCCAATTTTACAATCTCTATTTCGCTTTTTATTATCTTGACATGTAATGTACCAATAATATGTGTCTTTTATTTACAAATATAAATAAAAATGGTTGTACTTCGGATGATACAAGAGTATAATGAGCGTGTTTCAGCATGCCCAGGCACCGTCACTGCCACCTGTTAAAGCCCCGTTATGGCTGTGGATTTTTTTTTTCAATATAAAAACCGCTAGGCAAAAGAAATTAGAACTTGGGCTTGACCAAAATATCACAATTATTTCAAAACCGCCCAATCACGACAAAGTTAAAATCACAGCTTTGATACCCGTACCAAATACATCACCATAGAATAACCATTCTTTGTTTCAGTTTTAGTCAACATCATACAAGGCTATATACTTTCTTATACCATACAGTTTACACCAGTGTGTATGACGCGGATGTACGTCTTCATATCAACCTTCTGCTACATAGTATTCAACAGAAAACCCAGGAAGTGGATATACAATTATGTCATTTTATTAATCGAAAAAAACATCATGCATGTAGTGTACAAATACAATGTAAGATATGACAAAATACAGACGACAGCTTCAAAATCAAAGCCCATGCATTGTTTAGAAATTATAATTATCAACAACGAAATGGAGATCATTGAAATATGCCGTAATTTTCGCTTAACTAAATGTTTTGATGAATCTGACTGAATTATGTACAGAAGATGCCAGTAAGAATGTTTACTTTTACAAAGAACTGATGTGACAGTAGACTCCATGTATCATGTTACACTAAATAAACTGATTTAAACAATTCCTGAGATCAAACAGACATTATGATTTGATCAAATACAAAATGTTAAACATCAATTTCACAGCACAGCTTATATAACAGAGGACGTATTTCCTGTTCTTATCTGTATAGTGACAGCACATCAAGACGCATACCTTGCCATAAATCTGTATATATGTACTGATACATAGCCTATTTCTGGTGTCCCCCGCCGTGATATTGCTGCAGTAATGCTAAAAGCGGCGTAAAACCAAACTCACTCACCGATACATACATGTATGCGTCCTGATGCATGTTGAGTCAGAAATGTGAAAGACACATCGAACACCTCAACACATCGAATACTGAGTCCTATATCATGAACTTAATCGATCTCAAGCTCATCTTAAATCACTCCCAAACAACTGGAATAGTTTTGTCTTCCTTCCCACTGATTGTCTGAGACTGGAATGGCGCCTGAATGGTCATCTCGCCCTCGGAATTCAGGATACTCGTCAACATAGACAGATCCACTTTGTCCGGGAGACGTATGCGCCTTTGCAGTGATTCAGTTTCGCTGTACCCGTCACACTGGCTCTCGCGTTCTGCTTCCACGATGACGTCACCATTTCTTACAACTACCCGGATGTCTTCTGGTTTGTACTTGGACAGATCGAACCGAATTTCAAAGTCTTGTGATGATGAGGAGACGGGAAGATTCTCGTCGGCTTTGATCAGTATACTCTCGGCATCTTCCTCTCCATCTGACATCAGTGACTCTACGTCTTCGTCCTCCTCCGTATTTTGATCTGTCGTCTGCTCTGGTGGAGCACTGTCAGCTGTCGTCTGCTCCTCCACGTAACCAATGTCACTAGTGTCATGTCTGAGAGACGGCTTCTCGTCATACTTCAACATTAGGCAGGTATCTTCCTGCTCTTTTTCTTCCTCGCTTCTCTCTTCCTCGACATCCATTTGCTTGTCAAAGGACCCGGCTGCCGTTTTGTTGTACGCTTCCGGAAAAGGCTCCTCAGTGTCTTTATCTGTGGTCATCTGCTCAGCAGGTTGTTCCTCCTTATCAGGACTCCCATTGGACAAATCCTTCTTCTCCTTCCTCTCAACAACAGGAAGACCAAACATAGTGGAAAACAGGTGTTTCATGCCTTCTTGAAGAGCTGCTTGAACTTCCTTTTTCTCCTTCCATTCCACCGTCGTCGTACTCATCATCATCTGTGTCACTTGTCCTGGCTGGGTTAGATCTGGTTCTTCTCCTTGTGTTCAGCTTTCTTCTCACCCTCTTGCCTCTCCGGTTTGTCCTCCACACTGTGTTTTGCGGACGCAGGGATCTCGAGGATAACCTTGCCGTCAACATATCGGCAGGTAACTCCCGTTTTGTCAACACCAGGTGGTAGTGGAAGTCTTCTTGTGACCCGGAAGGAGTTGCTGGGGTTATCATGTCGGCCACACACACAACTATGGCGTTATCTGTGACTTTCACTTTGATTTCATCTGCAGAAAAACCGCGGAAATCGAGGCTTGCAGTTATGGATTCCGACTGCCGTTTCTGGGTAAGACACTCCCCTTCTGTGCACCTCGACGTGTGACACGCTGACATTTTCTGTGTCACATGGGCGTCTACCGTGACAGCTTCCGACTTAGGGTTGTTTTGTGACATCACCATGAGAGGACGGAATATGTCATGCAGGAATCCCATATTACCCAACTGTTGCTGTTGACAACGCGGGCTTCTCTGGTAAAAGCAGGGTCTTGAATATACGGCACGCTCTCTGAACATGTCTGCGGGTACTACATGGAACAACATCGTCTTTGGTTTCTTCCTCTCCTCGTCAACGATGTCGCTGAAGCAGTTCAGTGTATATGGCTCAGCTACGTTTGTACGCTAAGAGCTGTCGCTGCTTCGGTAGTCAGTTGTCACTCGTGTTTAGTGTGGACTCACCAGTCAAAAGAATTTGGCCCAGTTACGTTGTATACGCTAGACGCTCTCGCTGCTTCGGCGATCAGTTGTCGGTCGTGTTCAGTGTTGAAGCTGAATGCTGGAATGGCAGTCAGTTCAATCCCTCCGCCTTATATACAGCTACACAACACACCTACAACCTCGACGATTCTTCGAGAAAATGCAACGAGAAATGAACAGATAATTCGAGAACTGGGATGACAGCGTGCTTCTGTTTACGGATGTGACGAAACGGCGCTAGTGCGCAATCGCGTGACTCAAAATAGCACAGTAGGCGGAGCTTATCGCTTGAATCGCGCTTCTGGAATGTTCGCGATATCGCTGGCTGTTGACAGGCTTACTCCATCTTATCAAACAGCCTGATAGTCTATATACGCAAAATATGCATACTTTATAGTGTCTCTAGCGCCGGTTAAATATATACTGTCGTATGTACAATACATGAGGGACCTTTAAATCGGAATAAACAACAATATACAAGGAATCATATTATATACTACCCATCAAAAGTTTAGATTCACTAGTGTAAATGTAGCCACCTACTTTAGTCAACTGTTCTAAACTAGATTTGGTTAAATATTCCATACTGTTCAAAAGGTACTGTGTACACATGAACTGGTGTATTGTAAAAACAAATTCGTAACGTTGAACAAATTATTTTCATGAGTTCAATAAATCATGAAACTTAGAAAAAAAAATTGGCGAATTCTTAGCAAAACTTTACACCAAAACGCAGCTGTTCACATGCACTATATTTGCACATGCTTTTCAGAAAATGTATGCATGATCCTCGTGCAATTCATCTGCATAAGGTTTGCAGATGCTTTCCTGAGATTAATGGAGAAATGCATCTTCGATGTAACCGTATATAATACATAACATATAGTAAGTGCTTTAAGTGAGTCTAAACATTTGATGGGTAGTATACTAAAGTAACTCGACTCCCTGCAATAATACAGTGTGTGTACATACAACACAGTACTGCCGCTGACAACGCCTATTATCTATAAAATGGACGTCTTATACAAATAACTACATAAACAATGGATTCAATCACACACAAATATTTATGAAAACAAGTAATATTTTTATGTACGTGTTTAACGGGAGTATTAAATAAATTCTACAGTTGCAATACGTTATGCGTAACTGTAGGCATATCGATCTGCAGTTTTCTACTCTTGTACTTTATTGTGAGAACTGCCGCTAATTACGTATATACACTTTTATATCAATATCTTTGAAATTATTCAAGATTAGTCTTAAATGGTTATCTAAACTTAAAATATCTGAGAGAAAAACGATTTGGCACAGGTATACTAATATGTTTTATTAATAACTAACCCCTGTTGTTTGGCAGCCATATGATCAACTACGATACGTTACAGGGAAAACAGCAAAATAGATTTTGTGTGGCAAATCAGAAGCAAAATGTCCCCTATCTGTCGGAAGAGCTGTGTCCAGTAATGAGGTGGAACGGAGTTGCAATCTAAGGCATTTATAGGTAACGCAAATGATGCACGCAATGCAGCATCGAGCCTCCATATTCCACAGATTTAACAGATCTAAAGAGTGAAATAGAATAATTAATAAATCCTAGTACTTCGGGTCGTTTGTTTTACACTATACACTCAAACACCCGTATAAATGTCAGTACTCTGCTGCTATATAAATCTACTTCCAAAGTGGTATTTTTTATTGCTCGACCATTGTATATTCAGGTGATGGTGTTTCGAAAAAATGCTCAAAAAAGTTTGCCTCAAAACGTTGAAAGAAATTAAATGGCCTCCCGCAACAATTTGCTATTGTTTCTCCCGAGCCCAACAGATTGGCTATACCCGGCTACATATGTTGGGTATAAATAGATTTCACACTTAATTCAAAGGCAGGCGTTAATAGTTTAGAGGTTCAACAGTTATGTTTTGTATAGGATCGAAGGACACACTCTCTTTATGTATTAGCTCTTTTCCATCACGCCAACCGGTAGACAGGCCCAGAGATGAAAAGATAAACGAAAGAAAACCATGTATTGTCACAATAAGTATGACGTCACTTGTCCATTGTGACTGCGTAACATTGTGATATCGTAAATGACGTCACGTTACATTGAACGGATAAAATGGCCGCGCCCATGAGCCATCCTCGACACTGGACAAATCTACTCAGATGCTCTGTGTGTTTTTCTTACTTCCATGAACCTGTCACCTTGTTCTGTGGACACACGTACTGCAAAGGGTAAGATGTCAATTAATACAAGTTAACAAACATAGGTACCTTTATGAGCATTTGAATCTAGATTAATACGACCGTTGTTTTCGGTTCTTCCTTTTCATTTTCTTTTCCCTCTAGTTGTTTTATTTGTCGGACCGTTTTGCTTATTTTATGTTTCGTTGCCTTTTATGCTAACAAGACAGTAGGGTATGCCTGTATTGTCAGAATCAGACAAACGTGGGATGGATAGGTGTCTGTTACCCAAGCATATTACCAGATTCCGCGTGAAATATTGATTAATAAACGAATCTGACAAACGAACGGTTTTTTTTCATACAAGACATTCATAAAAATGTATATAATATTAATTTTCAAGAAGTGTTGGCATGGGGACAAATAACCCAAGCCTTCAGTATTTAAAGAGTGGAACTGGTTCACGCCACTCTGCACAGTATTTATTTCACATAACGGCGTGTCAGGAAGACCGAAGAGCTACAGACCTAACACAAGTTTGATGAAATACAAAAAAGCAAGATTAAGGTACTGCCAAACCACGAATAATAATCAGGACGATTCTTCGATTCGAACCCACAACCGTTTGACTGAGTTATGAGTGGGAGACACACAAAGCACAACAACAACAAAAAAGTTGAAAAAAACGCTGAAAACATGGCAGGGCGTGACCGAGGAAGTTTATCGCGCACAACATAGCGCGCACCCTAAGGTGATTCTGATTGTGGCATAACATGAACAGAAGCTTATGTATATAGCCTATGGTCATGGATTCGGATCCCAAATATATTTCCCAGTTTTGTTCAGCTCTATCCATAGGTACTTTGGGTTCACGAATGGTAAACATGCATTACTACGGGTCTTTTTCCTTCATTCAGCAGACACGCCGGGATTTAACAACTGTAATACTCTTCAAAGTGACGTTAAACAAAGCAATCTCACATGCTATGCGGAAAACGGCAATGAAATAAAAGTAGGAATGTCTCAGATAAAAAAAATTCTGGTGTCCCTCGCCGTGATATTGCTGGAATATTGCTAAAAGCGGCGTAAAACCAAACTCATTCACTCACTCAGATAAAAACATATGACGCCATCTTCCGTTGTTGTCAGTTCAGTGCCGTACATTAAACACAGGAAGTGTACATTTGTGTTGAACACGGACTACTGCTAAAGACAGGAATTGGTATAGTGAAATCAGCGATCCCCAGTTCCTTAGTACCTCGTAACCTCCATCGGAAGTATATTCTCAATTTCATGTATTTCTTATACTTTTCTACAATGTGGGGTATCAGTAATTTTGAGAAAATCTATAACTACGTTCCAGAATTCGATACGCACCGGAGGTTTGTATGGGTGTATCTACTTTTCAGATGCATGCGGCGGATGGCAGAGACAATGGAAGAAAACCACCCGGATGTCCCCCAGCATCGTCTGCGCATGTGGTGTCCTACCTGCAGACATGGCGTCCCCGCGCGGATGTTCTTGAGGAACGACGCCAACATCTCGTTTGTCTTACAAGATCTCGTTGAAGGGTGGCGAGCAGAGAGGAGCAACGTGCGTATGAAAAATGTCAATAAATCGTGCAGACACGCACCGTTATACGGCTGAAATACTGTTGGAAGCGGCGTTAAACACATATCACTCACTCACCTGGGTTCCGTTCCACAAAACGATCGTAGAGCTAAGATGATCGTAACTCCCATACTTTAACATAGACTTACGACTGTCGTAGTGCTACGATTGCTTTGAGGAACGGATTTATAAAGGCCGGTTTATGTGATTCAAGTGGGTTTTATAGTTGTACCCTCTACGACTAGAAGTACCCCCACAGCCGCAATAACCATTCCAAGATCATGACACCAGCCCTTGTTTTATCCCATTGTGCCAGTCGCTAAGACTGTCTGTGTTTCCCATCTCCAGTCAGCCCTGAATTTTCATTCCAGCCTGAAATAATAAACCGTTTCTTCTCTCAGTGTTTCCCACCGCTGTAGATAATTATATCCTGATGAGATAAAAATGACCTCCTAGACATGCACACCCAAAAGAACAAGGTCAGCTTGATATTTCTGCAAATACATTTATTTAAAGAAATCGTTTTAGAAACAAAGAGCCCTGATATTCATAATAAATTACCTTCAAGACTAGTTCCAAGCAAACTAAATTAAACAATGGATGTGTTTCCATAGAGGAAATTATTATTTATTTATAATCCTTTTATTTCGCCCGCCCGCTCTCATGCGGATTGAGAGATGAGAACATGTAAAACCATACTGATGTCAACGAGTACTCTGTCTTTGATGCTGTCACGTGAACAGAGAGCTCAAAATCAGATGATAATAGAACTCTTGGATTCAACCCGATGAACAGCCGTCCAGCTGGGCATCGTTCCTCAAAGCGATCGCAGCGCTAAGATGATCGTAACTCCCATACTTTAACATAGACTTACGACTGTCGTAGCCCTACGATCGCTTTGAGGAACAGAGACCAGGGCAGATACTCAACTCCGACAGCGACTTGGTTCAATGTGCCAAGATATATGTATTGATACGTTTATATTGAATGAGTGTGTTTGGTTTAACTCCCATCATACCAGTCTACAATCCTAATGGGCGGAACTGCGGTGAATTGTAGCACCGCATAAGATGTTGCCATCCCTGCCCCAGTAGTACTAGTATTAAGAAAACACGTGTATGTATGTTTAGGTGAGGTAAGGTGAAATTGGGTTTTACGTCGTGCTTGAGAATATTTCGCTCATATGACGACGTGCATGCGTGTGTATGTGTATGTGCGGCTGCTTGTACTAGCCCAGACTTAAGCTGGTTTTATAGTGCTAGCCCACTGAGATACCATGCCGCAGTGAAGCATGAATACCCCACTCAGACACATTATACTGACTCCGAGCCGACCAGTCCTTCTGGTACCCATTAATGCCGAGCGCTAGGCAGGGACCAGCAAGTATACGTACCATCTTTTGGTATGACGCCGTCGGGGATCGAACCCGCGACCTTCCGCTCTCCGGGCGGATGCTCTAATCACTACACCACGGAGGCGGTCTGTATGTATGTTTAAGTCAGCCGTGAAATAATAAATGATATTTTCTTGGTCATATTGTTCACGGGTATGGTAATCTTCTCTTGGAATTTTGGCGCATTCAAGACGGCATTGGTGATTTTCTGTGATTAATTTCCCTTTATATTTCCCTTGTACTTTTCTCTTTGTCACCCAATGGAATTTGTTTTGGCGGATAATAGAGACTGGGTATTCCCTGGCATTGACGTTATACATTCACCACACACTGATATGCAGCTTGAAATCCTCGATCGTATCCCAATTGCGTAGATCGATGTTCATGCTGTTGATCACTGGACTGTCAGGTCCAGACTCGATTATTTACAGACCGCCATATAAATGGAATATTGCTGAGTGCGGCGTTAAACAACTAACCAGCCAACCATAATCACCAACGGTTTTTATTTTCCATTGCAGATTGCCACATCCGGGCAAGTGTTGGTCCATTCAACGTCAACCCAAACCGACAACTCTTCAGGGAGGCAACATCGAAAGTCCGATCTGGTCAGTACAGGCGAAAGCTACCTGAAGCTCCGGTCAGACATTCAGTACCTCCAGGCGGCCATCTTGTCCGGAGACTCGGACCAGTCATGCGGGGATACAAACGACAACCAGCGAGTCCACGCGCGAAACAGCACGAGCGAATCCAATCTAGAGGGCATTCAAAGAATTTGATGACCTTGAAGACGAACCATACGATGAGCCTGAAATTGAAGACGAAGGTCATGACGCGGGTGAAGAAGTGCGCGTTGAGAGGCGTCGACTGCAGTGGTCCCCGAGCAAGACGTTGATGGTTATTGTGTGGGTTACGTACACTATTGTTATTATGATGGTCGCTGTGAACTTCCTGCCGTACATGATCATGTACTCGGTGTTGTTCGTTGTTATCATTTATACAGACAGACTACCCAATAGATATGACCTGTAGATGGCTGTGTTTGTTTCATTATCGAGAACACAGTGAGTGAGTGAGTGAGTATGGTTTTACGCCGCTTTTAGCAATATTCCAGCAATATCACGGCGGAGGACACCAGAAATTGGCTTCACACATTGTGTCCATGCGGGGAATCGAACCCGGGTCTTTGGCGTGACGAGCGAACGCATTAACCACTAGGCTAGCCCACCGCCCCATGAGAGCACAGTGTATTATATCTCAGTTTTATTGTGATATAGACCATTGACCTATTCGCTATCATATAACTACATATAGAAACTGACGTCACCTTTGAATATCTGTGAATGCTTGCACGCCACGGAAATTCTTTCCCAATACGTGTGTGGATAGGGTTCACTTACACAAAGCGTTCTTAGCGCTACGACCATCTTAAAGCCACGTAACTACATGTATTGTAGGTACGATCGTGGTAGGGCTAAGATCGCACTGTGAAAGTGGGTTCTGGGTCCTGGCTAGCTATGTATTCTGTAAACGTTCGTAGCCCTACGAACTTCTTAAGCCCATTCTTTCCACATTGGCTACGATCAAAGTTAAGAATACTTAGGGCTAGCTGGCTACGAACGTTTCGAGAATAAGGGCCCTGATCCACTAAGCGTTCGTAAAGTTACGGCCTGTCGTAACTCCATAATTTGCCATAAGCTTACCAATGTCGTAGCGCTACGAACACGTTGTGGATCAGGATCCAAATCGGTTAAATTTAGAGTCGAATCTTTCTGACATCGAAGCTTTTGTAACGAATTGCTCGAATAGTATTCATGGTCATAGAATTGATAAATACACCAGATATGAGGGAGTATTAACCTTTATGGAATGCCGGGAGTACTTTGAGAGTACTTGAAAAAAGTTCAGAGCGCATGCACATAATACTTCCAGTCAATATAGAACAAACTTTATGGATAGCAACTTCTATTATTCGTGAGTGCGACGTTTCTATACAGATTCTTGTACCTTTGTCAAGCGGGACATTCCATAACGTTTATTCTACATTGCACTTCCCAACTTCTAAAAGAATATACTTCCAGTCTGTTTACAATTTATTTGTATAAGACGTATAATTTTTGCAGTACAACCGGGTCTCGATTATAACAGCTAAATGTGGATAAACCGAATTATTATATAGGTAGTATTTTTCCCCTGTACCACGATTGGTCAAAATACCGTCACATGATTGACTACAAAACACGATATTGACTTGAGTTTTCTGATAAATTACGATATTGACTTGGTTACTACAAATAGACAAGAAATCCCGTACGAAGGGGCTTCCCCGCTTTTCAGCCAATCAGATCACTCGGATAGATGGCACAGTGTGTGCATTAAAAGTTTATGTTAAAACCCGTTTCTCTTTCATTATATAATAAAACAATTATAGACTCTTGTAGAGGTCGATATCGTTTTTTATTGACCTGAGAAAAACAATATCGACCTCTCGCAAGCTCGGTCAATATTGTTTTACTCAAGTCAATAAAAACCGATATCGACCTCTACAAGAGTCTATAATTGTATAATATTAACTGAATATTGAATATGTTCTGTAAATGGTCATACGATGGCCGATACTGTTCACAAATGAATTCAAAATCTGATTGGCTGTTGTGTACTTCTAAGGATTCTGATTGGTTAAATAGGTTCTTGTTGATGGACATTCTGCATTTACAATAATATTTCTGTGACTTTTAATATACGCCGTATAGTAATATACATACAGTTTTATATATTGACATAAATCGATATATCTGGTCAACCCAATTTTATAGATCTATTTGAGAAATAATGTAGAAATTGTGAAACGTGTACACGGCTGTCAGCTTAGCAATGTCTGTTTTCAAACTGTTTTGATCCTGAATAAAATGACTGCACGTTATTAAAATGCTGGCTAAAACATGTCATGTCTCATTGTCTGTTTTCAATACATATTTTATTGGGGATTTTTACTTTAATATTCCCGCAGAGGCATCATTTGAGTGATACGTTGATAGACTTTCGTCCGTTGAATTTGTTTGTCTATAGATGGAATCATCCGTACAGAACATACAGGTCGTTCGGAATACTTCGTGTTAATATAATCGAGGCTGTCTGATTGAACAACATACTCTGATTAACACTTTCCTGATAGAGTAAGCGGCGTTCTGATTGGTCAGATGAAAAGTCGTTCTGACGTTACAAAGTTGGTCCACAGAGCTTACATTTTGTGATAGATTTGAGATCTTATTAAACGAGATTATGAACTGGGATGCGGTTCAAAACTAACTTAATATTTCCAGGATGATTATCAAAGTTTCTGCCTCAGTCCCCTCTACCATCATTCTCGAGCGTTAGAGAAGAATCTTACACAACCGCCCGTTAAACAGCGGAAGGCTTTGAGATACTTAGATGACACCACATATCCTACGTAATTTGACAGCACGTGTGGAATCCTATAGAGGCACACTACAGTATTTCGACTTATAAAAATACAACCAAAAAATCAGGACCACCCGATTCTTTCATAGTTACTACTGTTACAGATAATCTGTCATCGATAGATCGGTTAATTATAGCAATATATTGGTTTTTAGCATTATATTGAACGATACTTTAAATAAACACCTTCGTAAAATGTTGAATATAGGGGCGGACACAGCTTTTGAGAAAGGAGGGTGCACACTTCATTTTTCTCGAGTTTCAATGGTCATTTAACAAACTTTCAGCACAAGGGGGCTCTAAACGCACGCACGCGCGCGCACACACACACACACACACACACACACACACACACACACACACACACACACTGGATCCGCCTATGGAATATGAAAAATGTGAAATAACGACTCCCCACTCCCCTGTGGAAGTGAACCTTGGGGAACATCTCATTATTCGCTTCGAACTATGGTTATTTAAAATCTTTTGGTTGAAAGCTTTTTACCTCCTCTTGCTATGGAGGTATCGTCCGATCTTGACACAAAGGGACATCGTATGGAGGTAAAAGATCTGATATCATTAAGACAGCAAGTTTAAGTTCATTATCATCATATCTTAAAGGAAGTAGATGTCTGTGTTCTGTCTGTATTCTGCATGCTGACGTGACTGTGTGATAGCACACGCATCCGTTGTCCTGGTAGTGAGGGGTTTCCGTTAGACTCGACGTGAGATCCTACATAGTGATAGTTCACAGGAGATAGCTCACACGATATCACTGGGACACCCTGGCATATAACAAGGAAACGTACACACATGCATACAGGATATGTATCAGTGTGTTTTTTATTTCTTTGCGTGGGTTTAAAATAATTTTCAACCTGCGAATTTTCTTCAAGATTTGCTTTGATTTTTAGCCACATACAAGACCTTCCAAAAATGACATATTCTATTATCTATATTACATAAAATCAGAATCGACATGAACAGAATATTACATCAACTGGTATAGTGTCAAACTGGTTTTAACAAGTCTCGAAATACTATAGTTATCACCCTCTGCAGACTGATCTTCAACATCAGTTAAATGATTTGTGTGACAAGCAGTTGAATGTTGTTCTTTTCTGAGGCTAAGCAGCGAGTGCACTCTGCTCATATTCATGCTTGCGAACGCTTCCAACCCAAAGTGAGAAAAAAGCTTAAGATGCGGGGGTCCAAGGGTCGGGTCCTAGACTAACACTTAGCCTCTGAATATAGTGAGTGAGTTTAGTTTTACGCCGCACTCAGAAATATTCCATCTATATGGCGGCGGTCTGTAAATAATCGAGTCTGGACCAGACAATCCAGTGATCAACAGCATGAGCATCGATCTGCGCAATTGGGAACCGATGACGTGTCAACCAAGAGGGCCTGACCACCCGATCCCATTAGTCGCCTCTAACGACAAGCATGGGTTACTGAAGGTTCATTCTAACCCGGACCTTCACGGGTTTCTCTGAATATGGGGTATGTAAGTTTGATAGTTAGGAGATAAACCTACTGTGTGGGAAAATCAGAGGTATATAACGAAATTATAATAGCTCTAAATTTCATTTAAAACCGAACGCGTAGCGAGGTTTATCTCCATTCTACCATGATAATTTTATGAACAGTTTGAGGTGGAGCTCTTTCTTTGGTTACGAGTCAATAAAGTGAAGCGGCCTCGCATTCCAATCTCAAGTGGCATCGCCCGAAACGGGGTGATTGGTGGCAAATCGCCAATGACTAACAAACTCCAGATTCAGTAATAACAAATCACGTTTTGTTTTTTCAATGCATCAATCATCAATCATTAACTGATAAGTTGGAAAACATACATCAAATAAGTTTAAAAAGCTTGGTTCACATTTGAAAATTCCACCGTAGACCCTAACCCCACCAGAATAATGGCAGCAACCTCATGGCCTTGACCTTTTCTCGGAAGTCATTGTTTACATTTACGTGCAAATTTGGAAAGATGCGACAGGAGAGCATCTGACAGTTTGCACAAGGTTAACTTTCCTGATTGTATGACTGAGATAGTCTTTGATATCTAATTACTGGTACTGGTACAAAATTTAAGAGTAGAGGCGCTTTTGCTGTAACGAGAAGTCCGTGTTGTAGCGAATTTAGATACTGTTGAATTTTGCGCCCTGTCAACTTGACGATTTCACGCACCTCTACGTCTGCGTGCGACAGCTGTGGTGACTCTTACACACTCATGTGTGTACTTTGTGCTCAAATTCGATTCTACGGATATTATTTTCAACATTTTGGAAAGTGTTTTGTGACCTAGTGGCTTCAAAGTGTAGTGAATTCAAATTGAATCGGATTCGCTGGCATGTTCGCGAGTCTGTTGACAAAGAGCCAGATTTGTGGTGATATTTCCGAAAGGATGGATCAGGACATAAGGGTGTACCTCTGGCATAAACACGGTAAGGTAATTAATTATACTTTAATAGACTACTTTAGATCAAGCAGTGTAATGGATAAGAGGGATCATGACTAAGCTAAATAACTTTTTCAACGATATTACTTTTAGAAAAAGAATATGTTGGGCTCAACAGAACGGTTTGCAGATTCTGTAATAATTGTGTTGTACTACCGCTAAATTTGAAACAGTACAAATTTCAAAATATCATTTTGTTTGAATTGATAACCCAACTGTTTATTTATGTGGACGGAATTTCTTCGGCGTTCGGGGGCGGTAGGGTAGTCTAGTGGTTAAAGCGTTGTACCCACATGGGTACAATGAGTGAAGCCATTTCTGGTGTCCCCGCCCTGATATTGCTGGAATATTGCTAAAAGCGGCGTAAAACCAAATTCAGTCAGTCAGTCTTCGGCGTTCGATGTTAATGCATCCTCCGTTACCGGATCTAGATCAGTGGCGATATCGTTGACGAAAGCTGATAATAAATTTAACACGGAAATTATGTAGCAGTCTATTGCTGGATCTATTCTGACATAACATAGAATCAACGCAAACATATTTGTTTTTGATGAATTTTTATTCGGAAAGCAGACGATGTTTTGATCTTGTTCGACTGAATATTTGTTTCCATGCTTTCGAAGTACTTTTGTATGTATAAACACCTATTGCTGTGATTTACGCAAGTAGTAAGTCGAGCCCGTCATCGCTAAATCCATCTTTAAAGACATATGTGTAATTTCCAACAGTAAAATCGCCGTAATTTATTGATGCATCGGTAGGTTGTTTGGTGTCCGCCATGTTGGTGGGCAGACACAAATAGTGCATTACCGTAAACCATGTATGATTGCGCACGGAAAACAGAGACCTGTATAACGTGATTATATACCTCTGAATGACTTTAATTAACCAATCACAATCCAGTGTTTACTGAAGTCATGGTAGAATTTCAGAACCTGAACCTGGGGAATCTAGACTTGCTTCAGCATTACAAAGAGGGCCAGGCACTAGGGAAAATAATGTGGTTCGGGTCCTAACGCCTCCAGACCGACTCCGTGGTGTAGTGGTAAGAGCGTCCGCCCGGAGAGCGGAAGGTCGCGGGTTCGATCCCCGACCGCGTCTTACCAAAAGACGTTAAAATATGGTACTTGTTGGTCCCTGCCTGGCGCTCGGCATTAATGGGTACAACAAGGACTGGTCGGCTCAGAGTCAGTATAATGTGTCTGAGTGGGGTATTCATGCTTCACTGCGGCATGGTATCTCAGTGGGATAGCACTATAAAACCAGCTTCAGTCTGGGCTAGTACAAGCAGCCACACATACACATACACGCATGCACGTCGTCATATGAGCGAAATATTCTCAAGCACGACGTAAAACCCAATTTCACTTCACCTAACGTCCCCTGAAGAAAACGCACAGTTGCTAATTGCCTACTAAGAAAAGTCACTGAAGCGATGTATTCACACTTATTTGTGTGATTTTAAGAGATTTTTACTTTTATATTTCATATAAACCCAATTTGGCGTGAGATTAAGTATTTTTCGTGAGAGTGTGACATGAGTGATAAAAGCGTGAGTTTCAAGCCAAAATCTCAGCTTTTTTGCAAAATATAACTTTGTTTAGTCTGAAATTGACTACTCTTGGTCCTGAATAACTACAAAATAATACGTACAATGGTATTGTTCCGAAAGATTTCCTTCAGATCACAACGTGACAGGTGAAGCGAAGGCGTCTCCCCACTCAGCAAAATATGTTCCACGCTGCTTGAGCGGTGTCCGCGATGAATCACACACCTGTTGCTGTGGTCAGATAGAGTTACCTCCCCTATACCGCCAGGTGCCTCAAAGGTGACAGATGACAGTGTAATCAATGCCCAGTAACAAAGCGCATCGAAGTCAGCGACACACATTCGCCACGGATTGCAGGTGAGAATGCACGGAGTCTACGTGCAGCAGCTGATTGAATTACGTCATCGGGATGTGTTATATAAACTATAACGGCAATGACAGCTTGTTCATCAAACAGCAGACTGTCAAACTAGGTCAATGAAGCATTTCACCAAGACCCGTATCGAAAATACTGTTTTTGAAGACACTTTCAACGACTTTGCTGTTACAAGTTTGCTGTAAAAATATTTCATAATTCATCACATAAGGCAATTATGAACCAGAGAACTCACGGGTGTCAGAGAGAATGGTGACAATGTTCGTCATGTGTAACAAAGTGACGAAATTAGTCAATTATTTATCCATGTTGTAAACTTAGAAAACAAATTTGAGTTTTTGTCAGTAAGGAAAATCTGACCCCATACCTTGTTACATTCTATACTTATTGCGAAGTGCAAGCAAGTAACTTATTTAAAATATACCAGGGGGCAGTGGGGTAGCCTAGTGGTTAAAGCGTTGGCTCGTCACACCGAAGACCCGGGTTCAAATCCCCACATGGGTACAATGAGTGAAGCCCATTTCTGGTGTCCCCATCCATGATGTTGCTGGAATATTGCTAAAAGCGGTAAAACCAAACTCAGTCAGTCAGTAAAATATACCAGAGTATTAATTTCTTTGAGTTGCATTTAGAAACTGGTACAATGAACAGGAATGATTCAAGTGATGGCTTGCTTGATAAGGGCATCTACAACCAAATGTCGCATCCATTGCAATGAAGAAGTTGTCTATCTATAAACAGTGTTCCTGTTGAGAGTATTAATTATTTACATTTCAGTTATATCTTTAATTTTGGCAACTACTTACCAGGCGGTTAACTGATAATTGGACTTTATATGGCTAATGCATATTGATCAGAATAGTTCCTTACAGCAACTCTGTCACTCTACACAGCATAGAGGATGTCCTTGGCGGTCTTGTATCGCTATCTACAGTGACCCTCCTGATGTCTTGGTGCATTTGCTAATGATCCTTTCTGTAATGACAAAATGCAAATTCACTTTGTATTTTATTATAGACTGTCCAATTTCTACTGAAAGAGTGTATTTTTATAACCTCCTCTAGAGAGTGCTATATTTTTGGTGATCTTCCTGACTACCTCTGACACAGATGTTGCTGAAGCTACAGGGATTGCAACTAACCCTGAAACATTTGCTAGCCCGAATAGTCATGGAAGAAGAAAATAAGAAGATTGGTGTTATGTGCCTCGCAGTCACAGACATGCTATAGTGGATGCAATACTGTTCACTGTCTGGCAGGTATAGTGGATGCAATACTGTTCACTGTCTGGCAGGTATAGTGGATGCAATACTGTTCACTGTCTGGCAGGTATAGTGGATGCAATACTGTTCACTAGTGTTGGGAATTGGTTGAAATCTCACAATTGATGATTGGTTCAATACCAACGACCAATCATTGAAAAATAATTGGTTAGCGTCATTTTTTAGATTTTCCTATTCAGGTTGTAGTTGCAGGTAAATATAAAGAAAAAAACGTTTGGTTCTCTGTTGTTTTTAGAAACTGCACAAATTACATTTGCAGATTTCACATCCAGTGTAAAATGATTCAGTTCCAGTGTAACATTAACTTCCCAGATTCTTCAAGAAATATTCAGTCATGACTTTTCAGAAAGTGAAGTGAGTTTTCTTAGAAATAAACACGTTTTCAGGCCCTGACAGCGTCCTAGATATGTTCCATCATCAAGTATTTCAAACTCTATTACAGCGGTTCCAAAATCGTTTGTGTTTGATTATGAGAAAATGTGATCGATTGCTTGGTCGTTTGGCCACTGCGACCAATCTTCGATTATTTCAATTAATCGGACCACCACTACTGTTCACTGTCTGGCAGGTATGGTGTATAGGACACAAGTTAAACACAAAAAGGTACCCATTAAAGCACAAGGTGCTAAATAAACACCAAACAAAAACACTGCATTGCTAAAATTCTGGCACCCTCACTGTATCTCCATTCATCCCTTCTGTACCCTCAAATCCACTCAGCCATCCAGCCATCCACAGATTCTGGCACCCCTCACCCTTATCTACATTCATCCCCTCTATATCCTTCTACCCTCAAATCCACTGAGCCATCTGTTCATCACCCCCCAACCCACCCATTTGCATAATAGAGACCATATATAGAGGGGATACTAAATGACATTCCGTGTAATACCACTTATATTAAACAAGTTAATGATTTGGTTTCAAAAGAGCACAAGCAAGTTTTATACTAAATCTTTCCGCGAGTTTAATAGAAATGGTATTTCATGGAAGCAAGTTTAGTATTCTGTTTATTACTCTCCAACATAAATTTCTAGAAACTGCCTACAGTGTGTTGACTCTCAGCTTTCTGCGAGTCCATCAAGGTCTAATACCATTGTGACAGAGGTATTAGCATTGTGACGTCATAACTGTAAAGCATTATGACATCATACGTCTATCAGTATTACACTAGTGTAATATTGTCGTAAAAATATTACACTGCGGTATCTTTCACGGGCGAGTAATAATATATGGTCTCTGCCTACACCAACACACTCCATCCACTCACCCAGTAATAGCATACACTGACATCCACAACAAAGCCTGAAACTCTAGGAGACCTTACACTACTCAAGCTGACTCAGGCAAACAGACTAGTGCCAAATTGCATCTCACACATCAACCAACACTACTAACTGCCAAATTCAAACCTTTTGTTTTTCATTTATTAATACTAAGTTCAATTTTTGGGGACAACCACGTGTTGAAATTGAGTCTAAGATTTGTAAAACAACGAATCTAAGGTCTATAGAGTAGGATGTAGTTCTACAGGGTTGTTTCATATATCAGAATGTTTTTATGATGGTTCTTTTAAAGGTCAAAGGCACTGATTGTACTTTATTCTGTGATAAAGAACACTTTTTGAGTTTTATCGCAATGAGCTGACTTCATGATGCTGTTCAAATTATCTCCCTAAAGTATCCATGGTAACATTGTTCTATCATTACTGGACCGCCTCTGTGGTGTAGTGGTTAGAGCGGGGGATTCATGTTTCACTGCGGCATGGTATCTCAGTGGGCTAGCACTATAAAACCAGCTTCAGTCTGGGCTAGTACAAGCAGCCGCACATACACATACATACACACGCATGCACGTGGTCATACAGGGCTACATATATGGGGCGTACATGCGTAATGTACGCCTCAAAATCAATTAAGTACGACATAATATAAGATTTCAAGCATATCGTGTACGCACATAAATACCTTCGTATGTCTAACATTTAATTTCCGTGCGTATCGTGCAAATGGAAATCTATTTCAGATAAATACTTGTTCAGTTTCTTTTGCGAAACACGATTTGACACATGAGGAAACCCCGACAGTAGGAATCCCATGCGTTGCCATGCAATGATATGTGTGACTATTTTTCGATTCACTAAAAACTACACTGTTCATATTTATATCCAGTCGGACCTGACATTTCGTGCATCACACGGTCGCTCAGTTATTTCTTACGCATCTTCAAATACAAATACATGGTTGGAAATAGTGATCGATGAAACGTCCAGACAAACCACATCAACTCGCTCACACAAAAACATGTCAGTACTCCTTCAAAATTCTCAGTACACCTTCACTTGCAATATGATGTGTAAGTACACTCGCACCCCCAAAAGTTATCTGGAGCCCTGGTCATATGAGCGAAATATTCTCAAGCACGACGTTAAACCCAATTTCACCTCACCTCACCTATCATAACTGTCAATCAAATGTCATATTTTATAGTGAAGGTGCAATCAGTTTCAACATCTGAGGACTATAGGGCACTGTGAGTCAAATTCTAATCAGCCAGTCAACGTCAATCTTAAGGCTTCTGTATTATCACATGAGTGAACAAAATATTGAGACCGGTATATATTCTGATTTACAGATTTTGATGATTTAAACAGTATTTTATTTCCCGAAAGACATGTAATCTACATTAAACATTATTAAGTTACATAAAGGAAAAAGGATCAGCAAACAGGCTGCCTCAGCCTACGTAAATGCTTCTCCTAAACATAATCTTGTAAAGAAGGATTTTATAAGTACATTTGTGGAAATAAGTAATTCAATAATATCAAACTAAGTATAGCATATGGTACCACACTTTATGGAAAACGGTTGGTATCATTTAAGAAATTATAAACTGATTTTATTATCAATTTGTTTTCATACTGGGACAAAGATTCATCTCCACTTAGAATAGCATGTGAACTTATATTATATTAAGAAATTATAAACCGATTTTATTATCAATTTGTTTTCATACTGGGACAAAGATTCATCGCCGCTTAGAATAGCATGTGAACTTATATTATTTTGAAGGAAGTATTTATTAAATGTAAACCTATCATATAGAGGACAGGTTCCTCTCGAGTGTTTCCACAGGAGCAGTTTCGGCTGTCTGACAAACATCTATCAAACAAGTGAGAATTAAGATCACTGCAGCCCAGGCGCAAACAACAGAGAAGAATTTGACCTCGCGTGGGACCATACGATATATAATTTTTAAATGTTGGGGATAATGTCATGTCACAAGATATACATTTCTTAAATTTTGATAATGACTCTGCATTTCTAATATGGATGTCTAGCGAATTCCATGCCTTAACAGTAGATGGGAGAAAAGAATTATTAAAGTAAGATACACTCCCTGCATGATTATCGGAGTTTCGCAAATTGCTTTGATTAGAAACATTTGGTGTACCCATATTGAGAGATATTGTGGGGTTAACCCATTTGCCATTTTGTAGAACATACATAATTTATTATAGTGGCGTCTTTCGACTAAGGAACTATATTCTGTCTCAGCATAGAGTTTTTCGTGACTTGTGCCTCTCACAGCACCTGAAATAGTCTTAAGGGCATCTAGATGTAGCTTCTCTATCAGATGAGCCTGGTCCTCGGTACAATTATCCCAGATGGTATCACAGTAGTCAAAGATAGGCAAAATAAATGATTTATAAATAGTTTCAAGTGATAAAGTTCAGTTAATTAGTACACTGTGGAGTTCCCAGGTTTAAATCCAGACTGGTGTTTTGATATGATGTCATTATCCATAAAGAAATTGTAAACATGCTTGAATATACACTTTTCAAATACTTTAGCCACACAACAAGATAGAGCAACTGGCCTATAATTATTACAATCATGCACACTTCCTTTTTTGTGAAGAGGGACAACTGCCGAATATTTCCAAATGTCGGGAAACTGAGAATGTTTTAGGGATAAAAAAATTAAAAAGCTTCGTAACGGGTCTATGGAGAGTCCGAGCTAAAACTTTTAATAATTTAGCTTTCTTTGTGTCTAAACACAGCAGGATATCATACACTTCATTTTCCGTTAGAGAAAATATATCTAATTTGTTTTCGCTGTAAGTGGGAGGAGGTGAGTCGATATTAGGTTCGTCGCCTTTGGCTTGTTCTGTGAAATATTCATTAAATGCATTAGCAATGTCATCTGCATCTTCTAGAACAGTACCGTTGTGTGTGATAGGTGGAAACTGTTTACCTGAATTTCTATTTATCTTAATATGCTTATTTACTAACCGCCACCATGATTTAGTTGCTCTCTTAGTGTTAATGATATCATCAAGTTTCAAATCATATGCACGTTTAGCTTTTCTAACTTCCAAAATAACTTTGTTTCTAGCGACTTTAAAACATTCCCAATGATAGGTATCATTTTTTCGTTAGCAACTTTATGTAGGCGGTTTCTTTTCCTCATTAATTTTGCAGATATCTGTTCATCCATATACAGTCTCGAGGTCTTATAACGACTTCTATGTTTGGAATATAGTTATTGATTAGTCTACTGAGCGTAGATGTAAAAGTTTCAACAGAGCTATTGATATCATCACTAAACAGAGTGTCCCAATCGGTTGATGATATACTATCACTTAACCCATCATAGTCTGCACGGTTATAGTCATAAATGGTTCTCTTAAATGCTTCCTTGGAGTGTTTCCCAAATTTCAATGAAACATAAACTGGGCAATGATCGCTGCAGATTGGACTGACTGACTGACTGACTGAGTTTGGTTTTACGCCGCTTTTAGCAATATTCCAGCAACATCACGGCAGGGGACACCAGAAATGGGCTTCACACATTGTACCCATGTGGGGATTCGAACCCGGGTCTTCGTCGTGACGAGCCAATGCTTTCACCATTAGGCTACCCCACCGCCCCGCTGCAGATTGGAGTGAGAACGCCAGAATCATTTATAATACAGATTTTGATCATTTATACTGGGCAGTTAAAGTTCGCTTAGGGTTCATTTGACATAACCACCTATGGAGCTGTCGTGGGAGATCCACATAGAGGTCCCAATAATTATCATGACTGTCGCAATAAAATATCAAATTTTTGATGAGAATGACTGCAGGTGCAACCAATTGTTTCGGGTTTGGGTATTTGGCTAAATTTACCTACTTTACAGTCATAAAAAGGCCATTGGTTTAAACATATTTTTATTCCCTCAATGCAGAAACCTGGAAGAGGCGAACAAGCCTAGTGGCTTATATAAGCGCGGCTCCAGTACCGCGGTTCCAATATAGCTGGATACATAATTGAAATAATCCGACAAGAAAGAATAATACTGAGACAAAATTACACTCAGAAAAATGATTGAATAATAAATATTTGGTTATGGTGTTGGTTGTGCCTATCAACGAAATGAGCTGCATGAAAAATCAAGTTATATATTATATCTAGTCTTTAGAGGTGATAATCACTGGAAGCGCTTACTTTTAGAAATGAACTGGTGTAATGAGTTGAGAATGTCACAATTTGTTGAGATTAAGTGCAGGGAAAATAATTGTCATTCAGGATATGCTGCCAATGTTAAAAAAGAGCAATCAGTAATTATTATTATATGCTGCTCCAGGTATTTCTGTTATGACAGTGTATGGAGAAGGTAGAGATTATGATCCGGAACTGACAATTCTCATCTGTATGCAGTTTTGCTAATTCTTATCTATGTGTTGTCCGTGTGATATATTGATCCACATGCCATCGTACCGTATTCCCTCTGAAAGACTACAGTGTTTACCAGTTGGTGCCATTTCAAAATCATATTATAAGAATGGTTCTTTTGTCTCATAATGCATTTTGGGTCTTGTAAAACAGTCAGTTTGTATCCATCCATGAATCATGTAATGACAAGCCTCTAACCAGTGGCCAGACCTTTTTGTTTACTGAATCTTAACCCTCAAAGTTCAGGTTTGTAGGAAGAAAAATAATATTTAAAAATATAGAAAATATCATTCTTGTTTTAGATATTTTTGTTACCCCAAAATGTTAAAGGTCACATGCAACCAAAAACAAACATAACTAAAAGACAATTATCACTTATTCATGACATATAATATACATTGCTGATTATAAAAAAACAAATAAACAAAATTATAAGCGTACAATCGCAAATCAAAAGTGCAAGATTTTGTACCTGGGTTTACTTCCCTCGAAACGAAGCACCGGGATACCGAACCCAGTCAGAGTGGGTGGGCGTGCACTTAAGT